ACAATATTTGAAAAAAATTTAGGCTTATTGCAGAAGATTTCTCCCATTTCATAAGCATATAATTTTTTCTTTACTACAAATTTTACGAGGGACGCATGCCAGATGGAAGCCACTAGCTGCGCAAACGGTTGATTGAAAAAGGCTTAGCAGGAGAATAAATAAAAATGAGATGCAAAACTCTTAATTACTCTAAACTTTAAATTCCTTTAATGTAGGATCTATCGGCTTCGTCAAACGTTTAACTGTCTATAGTAATGGTATAACTAATATATACGAAACACTTTATAGAGGTACCACTAATTGGCAAAGGTATTTATAAACAAATTTTTATACTGCGACAAGTTCATTGGAAGAGCGAACGTTTGAACACCGATTTAGTTTTCAAGATATTTAACCCTCCCCTTCGTGTTTTCTAAGATCGAACTTCACTTACATTTTCTTTGATAGTGGATCTTTTTTCTCCATTTCTTTGGCAATCCGTCTTCGTCTCAGACTTAGGCAAAGAGTTTGAAGGTTTAAAGGGCTTTGTTACGGGGTATGCTGGCCACAAAGGGTTGCAAAGATCTGCAGCAGGTTTTGAAGAATAGAAACGAAAATGGGAAATAAATAATGCTATTTACCAAAAAATTTACAAAGGGAAAAAAGGATAAGGAAATGAAATGAGCTTTCTTTTCTACAATCAAGTATAAAAAGGGGGAAAGCTTATTTCGATTGCTGTTTTAAACAGAGAAGACTGCGTTTGAAGTTTTTCCTAAATAAGAAGAATTATTTTTCCGAGATAATGTTCCGATAAAAATTGCAGCTCCAAAAGAAGGAATTTTTTCGCTTAATTGAAGCAACCATTAAAAGCAATAGCCATATTATGATAATAATAATCGAGGAATATAACGATTATTTCGACTATTTATCAAAATATATATAATGAAGGAATATTAACGCTTGTGTTTAATATTTTTCGAGTATTTAAATGATTCTGTTGTCAGATGAATGTGCATATAAAATGTAGGAACTGATTTTGAAATTGCTTTTTGCATTTCTTAACTCTCACAGCGAAGTCGAACAATACGCCCCAGCATTCCGACATGGGGAGGTCGACCAAACGCCTGCGTCCATTTTCTGTTTAGTGTTTTCTTCCATTAAGCTAGTGCACGGCTTATTGGTTTCGGAGTTGTTAAATGACATGCCAATCATTCTTTTGAAGGGACTAAAAGTCGTTCTGTTATTTGAATCCAACTTCATGGGGTACCACAAAATATTGTGACTGATAAAGGTACTAATTTCATTTCTCAAGATATAATGGAGGTTTATAAAAGATTCGGCGTCATTAAACACACTACAACTAATTATCATCATTCATCGGATGTTGTCGTGGAAAGACTGAACGCTATAATTAATTCACTTTTCATTTAGTTTATCAGACTTCAAGAAGATTGGGATAGACATCTGCCTTTTGCTTATTGGCTCACAGAATAGGGAGAAATAATGCTCTTCAGGAGTGTCCGGCTTTTATACTGTATGGTAGAGATTTTAATGTTTTCTTCCATTAAGCTAGTGCATGTTTTCTTCTGTAGTTTTGTGCTTTGCGTAGCTTAGAAACTTGTATCCGTTATTAGTATTATTTAGTATTCTTTGGCTTATCCTTGGTCGAGTGTTGCACCGTTACTTTTACATGTTTAGGCCTATGAGGTGGTGATCATGTTGTCCTCGATTTTAACTATCTTGTCTTGATAGCCTTGTTGTTTTTTTTTTTTTGGAGGTTTTGCTCGGCTGGCTTCAGCTATTTTGCTCCACTTCTTTTAAGTTAAAAAGTTTTTTCCTTGGTTTTCCCAGATTTTAAGCGCTAGGGATTGGTTTCGGTTAATTTTTTGACTTGATTGTTATTTACCAACGCTTCATGCTAGTTTACTTCTTTCGTAATTTGAGCAACTCATGTTTCATTTATGATCTGTATGCCTGTTCTTGATTTTGTTTCGTATTGAGCCCAGTATAGCTCATGGGTTTGTATTTCTTTACCTTAATACCTATATACTTAGTGGTGTTTGATATGCTTATTTAGGTGTGATTTTTTTAGTTTTCGCCTTGGGGGGGGGTTTGTGTTGATTATAATTTACTTACATTTGTTTTTTTTGGGGGCGTGTCACGTGTTGCTTGACAACATTTTATTATTATTTTTTTTTATTTGTGTATAGTTGTTCTCCTGGAAGACCTTTTGACCCTCAGCCATATTTAACTTCCGTCGGTTTTAGTTAACATTGTATTACTGGTAAGTTACTCTGATTGAAGGGGTAGCAACTTTGTTGTACCAGATGTACTTTTTTTATACTTTTGATAACATGAACACCCAATTTTTTTTTTACAAAAAGCATTCACATATCAGTTGAAAATTAGAATCGTAGGATGATTATTACTGTGAGGGATAGATAAAATTATAAGGAATTATGGCATTCTTCCGTATATGCTACGGTTTGAATTCCGGACACAGTATAACTGGTTATTTTATTTTGAACTCCAAAGAAATCTCAAACTTCCACATTGACATTCAAACTAAAATATAGCGGATGGTAATTCGTCACCACCTCGATTTAATGGACCGCATAACCTACCTCTGCCTAATATTCTCTTAAGTGGGGAGAGTTAAGTAAATATCGCATTGCCTCCATATGTCCTTCGGCATAAGTGATAATATATTCAGCTGACAAATTTGACATCTGTGGTTGGAATCCCTTTGGAGGTATAATTAATTCAAGTTTAAAGCTCTGAAAAACTTAATGTCTGTAAAAAAGTTGTCAATACAATATCAGTTTACAAGTAGCTTTAACACCGGACCACTCGAGCTACAGAACGCGGTTAGCAAATAAATATGTATACGATGTCTAGGATTTAAAAATACTGAATTGTTTATCAACTTATAAGGTATTTTCTCCCTCCTTTCGGCATGATTTAGTGGTATAACAATTAGCACACTTGGCGCGTATTCGAGAAGTCCAGGTCCTGGCGAGGGCAATGCTCATTTTTCACATCTCCTGATTCAGAAAAATCTAATGACTGTACATTGGCATCCGAACTAAAGGTGGTGGATGATGATTCTTCACCACCAGGTTGATGAGTCCCAGCGAAGGCACAGCTCAATTTTCAGGTTTTCAGCATTCAAAAATATCCTAATGACTCTACAAGCTATCTATACGGATGTTTACAACAACAAATGGATATATTGTATTTAAATATATTTTGTAATTAACTTCGATAAATTGAAAACCTTAGAATAATTCAAAGGTAAATTGAACAATAAGGAGCAAACTTCTATTTTTGTATATCTATTTTTGAGGTAGCTTTAATTATTAATGATGCACGATTTTTGATTTATTTACAGTTTTTAGTGTATACTATAGAGATTAATTTATCGCACTTCTTTTATATTTTCTTTTGTTTGTAAGTTTTAATAATTTCTTTGTTGAGGCCATTTAACACTGAGCTACAAAATTTGGGAAGTAATGAGGCTTTACACCGAACAATTTTAAGCTGGAATTGCCTGAATGTTGAAAATCATACATAGGGTACTTCGAATGATACTGAAGTAATGAGGGAAACAACAATAATAACAATTTTAAAATTCACAAGGATATTTTTATTTAAAACAGTTCATAAGAGGTGGTTATTTTGGAAGAAACACACAAGCGGAAGAATACCTTACTATAGTACCTGTATCATTTATCGCTATTTGCTTTTAGTATCTCAAGGCTGTGTACATTCATACAGCATAATGTTTTCCTAGAAGGAAACATTTCGATCACCATATCGAGATGTTTCAGCCATGCTTTCGGAATGCAGCCCTGATCGGTCCAGTGGTTAGTGCTGCTAGATGCCATATCTTGGGCCAGGATTCGAATTCTGGGAAGGTTGGATGCTAGCATGTGTTTAGATCTGTGCGATATGGGAACGCTTAAAATACTAGCAAAGCGAAAGTCATTTAAAGAAGTCTGCTGTTAGGAAAAGAGGGCTAGAAGACGCTCGAATCATTCCATCTAGATGTTTTCCATCAAATCTAGGACAGAGCTTCCTCCTTATCTTGGGTATAATTTGGTCATCCTCTGTGTTGTACCCAGGGCAATGTTCTCAATTGATTAGATGATTAGATGGCTAAACGATCAATGAGTATTGCCCATTCAGAATGAAAGCAATAATTTGCAAGTATTCGGAGCAACAGAAACAACATGCTTGAAATCATATGCTAACTTCTTCCCAGGTAAGAAAGTCTCTTCAAGGAATAATATTTTGATCCTAGTACTGTTGTCCAGTCCTTTTGCTCTTTTCGTCAATGTCAACAGTGACGTCTATTGACAAGCATTAAACGGACTTAGCATATTGATTGCTGGGCAAACCTTTCTTCTTTTTGCAATGAACTAGAAAGCTGGATCCTAAAATTCTTTAAAACAACGTTATTTTATGAATTTTAGTATTATGTTCGTTATTAAACATTAAAAATTTAATAAAATCTAAGTTTTAAAAATTTACTAATTTTTTGTATCGCCTTGTATTTATTACAAGTGGAAAAGATGTCTCTATGACGAACTTAAAAAAGATACTTTATAAGGCATTTCTCCCGCCTTCTTAGCGTACCTTCGTGGTGTAGTGGTCAGCACGCTCGAAGTGTATTCAAGAGGTCCGTCGTTCGAGTCCCGGTGAGGGCATTGCTCATTTTTCATATCTCCTGCTTCGAAATAATTTAATGTCTCTACAACTTCAAGAGCGTTAGATTTCGAAAGGAGTCTGAGAAAAACAGAGTGCTTTTGAAATATAATTTGAATTCAAAGACAAATGTTTCTGAACTATACAAATTTAAGATTTTCAACGTTAGTAGAGAATTTAGTGCGCCCGAACGATCAGTCTTAATATTGTTTCTTTGCTGATCAAGAAATCATAAGATTTTGATGCTTATATACAAAAGTACCAAATACTTTTATAGTAGAATACATAATGCAAAACAGTTTTCAAGTACTTACCTGAAATAGTTTTGATCAATACTTCTATTCTCGCATAATCACTGCGTTTTGGCGAGCCACCATCAAGGGCCGTAACCCCTAACTCCACCACAGGTTCTGAAGTGCCCGTCTCTAAGGATCGAGCCAGTGTCACTACTCCAGTCTTTGCATCAATACTGAATCGTCCTCTAGGATCCTCAGGATCATCTAATTTGTAGTAAACTTCTGAATTGTACGGGATTGGGTCCTTGTCCAAAGCTCGAACGCGAAGAACGGTTGACCCTACTTTGGCCCTCACATGCAGCTCTCCTCTGTAGACATCGTGTTCGAATACAGGAGGATGAACATTGAATTCGGTGACAGTGATCTGCAGCTGACGAAGTTTAGTCTCTCCTTGACTAATGGCTACTGCTATGATCTACAAAGAGAGGAAAAAAACAACAGGCTCGTTACATGGATCTGATAATACATTGTTCTTAAAAGTTGGCATAATGCACATATCAAACTAATTCTGCTTACCAGATATTTCACTCCCTGAAAAATATAATTTATTTGATTGATCAAAAGGTAAATATAAGTTTAAGCCCAGTTTCAGCAACTTTGTAAATCAGAGGTTGATATAGTAATGAGTCTTTACTAGCTTTTTAGAACTTTGAGAATTATTATATTGTAATATATGCAATTAAAAATCTTTTTGTCTCTGCATTAGAAGCCTACAAAATGTTTTACAACACACTGCCATAAAGCGAAGATTTTATATTTCCGAATGTATGCCCATTCATGTATTTTGGTTCCTTCATTCCACTCTGTCTAATAAAAGACACTATGGGGCAATCCTTTCAAAGCTTTGGATGTGGGGAGAGGAGAGGCTTTACTTCGGTACGAAGCACGGCTCCTCCACCTATTCTGGGGAAGCATTAATCGCCTACTTTACTCTCTATGTTCTACACAACATGTGGAGTTGGATAAACTGATGTCTATAGAGACTGGTTTCCCACACAGCCTTCCTGGAAGATGGATGTTGAAACCTGATTCCTCTATACCATATGCAGAGACTACCAAAGTACACATAAGATTATAGTAAATAATCCGAGGATGATTTGTGTATAAGCAAAATTTTAAACAGCGGTATACACTAAAAAGGCAAAACCTTATGACCACCTACTCAAAAACGCGATGCGCGACCAACTGCAACTCGCCTTGGCATAAATGCCACAACCGTGGTATATGATTGGAGACAGTTTTACAAATACCTTAGAAGACAGGTACAAATGCTTAAGAAGCAATCACACAAAGGCGAAATATTCTGACATGGTGGTGTTTGAGTTCTGAGCTGCGGCTCCACGACATCCTAAATGTTCTATATCGTATTAAGATCCGGCGAGTTAGGTGTCAGGAACATTAATTGGAATTTATTCTCATGCTCCTGGAACTACAACACAGTTCGAGCCTTGAGACATGTGACGTTGTCCTGCTTCAAGATTCCATTTCCATTTGGGAAGACAAGGGTGCAACTGGTCAGGAAATTATGTTCAGATAGTCCGCAGATTTCATGATCTGTTTTACCACAACTAAGAGTTTCAGAGCCGCTCATAATAATCTCCCTCATAACAAAATGCTGCCCCCCGCCTATGTATGACCTGCTGTACAGGAGCAGGAACTGTTTGCCTTAAAGACGGCGCTCCCAAACACGACCATCAGCGTAACGGATGAGAGATCGTGATTTGTCCGACCAAATAACTGTCGTCCATTTATCCATGGTCCAGTCTCAATGTTCCCGGGCTCAGTGTAAGCATAATTGACAACGACGCTTGGCTAATAGAGATACACGAGTGGGACGTCTGCTGCGCAGGCCCATATCCAACAGTATTCGTTGAACTGTGTGTTCCGAAACACATGCGTTTGGACCTGCATTGGATTGGGCTGTCAGTTGAGCCACTGTCTGGCGCCGAGAGGTTTGCTGTACCGAGAGGGACAGTATACGTCGTCCTTTTCCTCTAATGACGAGTGGACGTCCAACACCTTGACGTCTAATGCTGGTTTTGCTGTGTTTTATCCAATTTGTATAGATATTAACAACAGCAGATCGTGACTAACCTACCAGTCGTGTAGTTTCGGAGATACTCGTTTCGAGTTTTCGGGCATTACAATCTTACCTCTATCAGATTCGCTTAGATCATAAGCCTTTCCATCACTCGCAAAAGTAAGCACAAGAATGATTCCTCATCTTTTCCAGCAGCAGTTAAATTTCATTCCCACTTATTCACTTGCCTCCACGTTATCCAGACGAGTTCACTGATAAATGTGGGGATGGACATTGTGGTTTGGCTCCTCAGCGTAAATCCAAGTATATATATATATTATTATAGATTATATCTATGACAATAATAGTGAATTTTTAATGTTGACAATAATAGTGACAAGTCAGAAGGTATTTTTCTCCGCTATTGCGCTCTCGCTTTTACGAATAAACACCGATTTTTCATTTATGTTATACAACTCACCAGCGGCCGAGCAGTAAATTCGCTGAAAACTGGCAGTTGGGCCCGAGATTCAGATCCCAAGAACGAGCTTGTTGCATTGACGCTTTTGTGGCTTTCCCTACGTATAACGTATATACGGGCCAATTTTCCTTAGAAAGCCCTCCGCTAAGGCATGCCTTCCCTTAGGCAGATAACCCTTGAGGCTTTGTCGTTATAACATAAAACAAACTAAACAATACTATTTCTGCTATACAGCAAAAGAAGCGTAGATCAAAAATGATTTTGCTTTCTGCTTATTTTTAATTAAATATAATCACTTTTATTGAAGAATGCTAGACGGAACTGAAAGTGATTATAATGCTGATGATGAAACGGAGAGTGATGACATTCAAAACGCAAAGGACGGGACAATACGAAACTTGCTAGAAGTTTCCGAATTGTTTACCGATGTTAGAAATTTAGTTAATTTTTATTACGATTAAATAAAATAAAACAGTATTTTTTAGTTATTGTCTTATAATATCATTTTGAAATTAAAGTATTTAAATCATTTTAAGTTTAATTTATTTTAAATATTTAAGTCAACCTCTAGTAATAAAAAATTACTAAAGTTTCTTATTGTTTCCTTTTTAAGTTGGCTTATATATGGAAATATATGGTAATTATATTCTATAATCGTATTAAATGTATTACATGAATTCCCGAGTTTTCTGATGGCTGTTTTTGACGTTTCGCTCTGTCGTCTTTTATATTTATAACGCAAAACTATATATTCTTGTATAATCTGCTTTTCGAAGCAATTCATCATGTTCTATACACTTAAAATTAGACTTTTGTTCATTTGATTTTACATAAGATTAGGCCATCTTAGCCTGATGTAACTTTATCAGGCTTCCAAAGCGACTGATATGGTTCAAGGAAGGAGGATTAGAAAGAAGCTTTTTCAATACGTTAAAAAAGTCGATTATGTTAAAATAATTATTATTTTAAGATCACAAAGAATTCACTTGATGAAATACATATCTTGGAGTGAACACTGTACTGAGAAAAAAATTGCTTAAATTAAAATTTTAAATAAGTAGATAAAGAATAAAAAAACTGTTCTTAATTATTCGACGTTCGGAAACTATTTTCTTATCCAGTACTGATTTTTCACCTTCGGCAGTTCCAGATAACAAAAAATTCATAAATATCTCAATTTACCTAGGATCCGGAAAAAAAGGCATTTTCTTTTTATTACTTAACTTCTTTATCTTTTTGTACCCTTATTCGACTAATGCATATTTTACTTGCATTTCATTCACTAGGTTTTTATTTTTGAAATCCATTAAAAGTTGATTCTAAGAAAAATGTTGCACTCCTAATGCAGAAGTTTAAGTAAAATACCATAGGGTTTTGCAAAAAGTTTTAAGAGAAAATTGAATTAACATTAATATATGGCTATTTGTTTCATTTTGATTATTCTTTTTAACAAAGGTAACTTCTTTTTCTTTCAAAAACTGTCAGATAAGAATTTACAAAAAAGATTTTTATGACATTTTCAATGCATTAAAAATTGTGTAGCCTTCTTTTCTTAGAATTTACTTGGCCTCATTGGAAAATCTAGCTTATTCCACAGTTGAATGGCAACTGAGATGATTAAATCTTTCAATACAAACCATTAACGAGACAAATCTCAAAAATACCTTTGTAAAATTTTGCCAAAATAGTGGATAGGATGCATAATTCGGCAGCCACTCCGATCTCTGGTTTTCATACTATATGATACTTTCTTGTAAGGACTTGATCAAGAATATTTGTGTCTTCACTCCTGGCTAATTTCCAGGACTTTTGCAAATGTTCCAGTTATTTGACCATCGCTAAGAGCGTTATCATATTGCCATCCGTTTTGGACGAAACGTTGTTACAAACGGCTTTTAGCTTTGCTTTGTAACTGATGAGACTCTCCTGGGGGTCGACGTAGCGAAGAGGGGGTAGACTCTGCGAAGCTACTGGCTAGGATTTGTACCTAGGTAGTCTCGGCCACTGGGGTATAATAATTACGAGCCTGGCGGTTCCCGAAGATCCGTGGGGTGGGGCTTATCTCCACTCTTCACGGGTCTAGTGTCGTAAGTCCCCGTAGCCGAATAGCGCCTGGTCCATTGAGCGTTCAGTCACCGCTGTCCTCGGTATTCCGTGTAAGGCCTGGAAGAAGGGGCTGCCAGTGCAGAACTGGCGGGTAGCATCAGCTCCAGGCAATCAACCGGCCCCATCGTGGTCCCTGATCGCTTGGGCGAAGGTGTTAGTTGACCAGTGTAGCGGTGGGTCTGTTTATCAGATGGAGATATATTTGAAGCTGTCGTTCTTGGTGATGTGGGAACCGAGACTTCATTTGGAACAAGGTGGCTTTTTATCAAGGTGGCCATCTACAAGGTGGCTTTTGGCTGGTATGCCCATCCCGTGCCTAATATCGGGGGATTAAGTTGGGTCAGCCTGCGTAATGTCATTCAGTTGACGGCGCGCGTACAAATATTATTTACTTTATAAATGATGAGCGAGATTCGCCTCCCTTTCTCGCAATGTACCGTTACTGTCACAATGTACCCAATCAGCATCGAAGTGAAGAACCTGAATGCGAGATTTGTTGTGTTGCTGGCAGTCTGTGTGTTTGAAAAGCGTGTACGGTCCCGCTAACTACCCTCATCTGTGCGTTGTTGAGTACTTTGCGAGAAGTCTTCCTCGCCTACGCCAGACAGACCTGCATGTGAAACATTTTCTTCTGTCTCGTAAAATTTTGTGAGATACAGATACGCAACAGATAGCTGAGCCCAACTGTTTGGGCTCCTTCCTTTTAAGCCAGAGCTGAGAGAACTGCGCATCTTTGAAACGTTTCTCAGATCTTTGCGCATCACTGTATATGACGAAGTTACGGAGAACTAGTTTGTAATCTTAAAGT